TAAATATTCTCTCTACATTTGAAATGATCCCTAAAATCCATACTATAAAACCAAAATTTTTAACAAATAAAAATTAAAGTATCATATTAAATGTTTTTCAGAAGTTTGGGGCGGCTGCCCGCCGCGCCCCCCTTGTCCTTCATTAGCTCCGTCCCTGGTAATTGCGGGTTCGAGCAACGCTAGGGGCACTCGCTTTTCGCACTCTCGGCTCAACACTTTCTCTTTTATTGGGCCACGTTATCCTGGTTGGTAGAAGTTGCGCCGAAAGCTTTAAAGAAGCTTACGTGGCCCAATGAAAGGGGAAGTGTCGGCCGGAGAGTGCGAAAAGCGAGTGCCCCTAGCATTGCTCCCCCCATAGTATAATGGATCAATAAAATTTAGGCATATTTCTTACACAATATAATATGGGTCAATAAAATTTAGGGTGTGTATATACAGATCATGATTATATAAGAAAAAATAATGATAATAATAATGCACAATTTTGCTAAATGCAAGTGCGTGTTCTAATTAACGTCTATAATATAGGAGTATATTCTTTTGTTCATTTCTGGACTTACAGTTATCAAATTATCTCCACATCTGTTATGTTAATTTCATTCCTTGATGAGATGAAAGAATTAAAAAATAAAATAAAATAATAGAGAGAGAGAGAGATAACATTGGGAAAAAAATGAAAATTAACCATGCACATATTTATGCAACTTCCCAGAAAGAAGAAAAATATGAGAAAGTGAAGCCGGCGGCCTAAATATACCTTGAGTCCTGAAAAATGAAGCTAAGTAGCTCTAGCCACGTTCTTCCTTTTATCTCTTCAGAAACCCTGCTTCTAGTATGCATATATACCTATGGATATTAATTCCCAGATAGCGAGAAAAAAAAAAAAGGATATTAACATAAATCTAAGATTCTCCCATAGATAATGAGAAGACATATAGATAAATAGATAGATAGATGTAGATAAATACCACTTAAAACACGCTCATAAAGCTTTCTGGTCCTGTTTTGTCAAAAGTCAATTGCTTGAGGCAAAGAATATGTAATTGTTATCTGATTTTTTTGGTCAAATGTTATTTTTAGTCCTTAAACTTTTAATTTTAAACATTTTTAGTCCTTAAATTATTTTTTTATTTTTTTTGTCCTTGAATTATGAAAAAAGTACTTGTTTTAATTCTTTCATCAATTAATTTATTAATTTTATCCCTATATGCCTATATAGATAGACTTATTTGCCAATATATATAAATATAGATTTAACAGAGACAAAAATTTAGACTAAAAAATGTAGTTTTAATAGTTTAAGGACAAAAAGTGCAAAAAATAATTAGAGATTAAAATGTTTAAAATTAAAAGTTTAGACACTAAAAATGACATTCAACTTTTCTTTTTCTTATTTTGATTATTATTAAAACCATTAATTTTTTGTTTTGATGCTGTTAAGTTCTTGCCCATTCAAAATTTTAGTTGCTTACAAGAAAAAGTATTGTGCATTACAGATTATATTAAACTATACAATTATAATTATTAGATGAAAGTAAACCCCTTATCTAATGGTTTTTATTTAATAATCTGGTATAATTTTAACTATAAAATAGGTATATACTCTCTTTTTCTCTCCTATAATACTTCTTTTTATATAATAAAAAATAAACCCTTTATCATCTCAATTTTACATATCTATGATTTAAACTGAAGATCTCTTAATTCCCTTGAAGCAAATACTATTACTGGATTGCTTATATCATTGGCATAATGCCTTTTGTTTATCATCTATTATAAAGATAAAAAAGTAATTATTATTTTAATTAATTAATTAATTTAACCCTTACTTTTTTTTCTTTTTTTCTTTTGAACAAATGTCATGAGGTGGAATTGAACCGTTGCGCGGAAGAAAGAGGGTGAACTTTTAGAGTGCCAAAGATCACTTGGACCTATAGGCTAGGTTCAATTTAA